GAAACACCCAGCCACAAGTCAGACAAACAGAAACACCAAGCCACAAATCAGACAAACAGACAGAAACACCCAGCCACAAGTCAGACAAACAGACAGAAACACCCAGCCACAAGTCAAACAGACAGAAACACCCAGCCACACAAGTCAGACAAACAGACAGAAACACCCAGCCACAAGTCAGACAAACAGACAGAAACACCCAGCCACACAAGTCAGACAAACAGACAGAAACACCCAGCCACAAGTCAGACAAACAGACAGAAACACCCAGCCACACAAGTCAGACAAACAGACAGAAACACCCAGCCACAAGTCAAACAGACAGAAACACCCAGCCACACAAGTCAGACAAACAGACAGAAACACCCAGCCACAAGTCAGACAGACAGAAACACCCAGCCACAAGTCAGACAAACAGACAGAAACACCCAGCCACAAGTCAGACAAACAGACAGAAACACCCAGCCACACAAGTCAGACAAACAGACAGAAACACCCAGCCACAAGTCAGACAAACAGACAGAAACACCCAGCCACAAGTCAGACAGACAGAAACACCCAGCCACAAGTCAGACAAACAGACAGAAACACCCAGCCACAAGTCAGACAGACAGAAACACCCAGCCACAAGTCAGACAAACAGACAGAAACACCCAGCCACAAGTCAGACAGACAGACAGAAACACCCAGCCACAAGTCAGACAAACAGACAGAAACACCCAGCCACAAGTCAGACAGACAGAAACACCCAGCCACAAGTCAGACAGACAGAAACACCCAGCCACAAGTCAGACAAACAGACAGAAACACCCAGCCACCTGCGCCACACCTCCCCCAACACCAGCTGTGGTAAGGGGACACCAGCAAGGAAGAGAAAGTCCGTGTTTGTCACGGGGACTAAGTTACCGTCAGACCCACACACCAGTCGTATATTCGGTTTCGTTTTTTATTTCCTCGACTTCTGCCGTCAAGACGTTGGCCTTAGCGACATAGCTGGAATATTTGACATAACCAGATTATCTTCAATCTGATAAGAACTTTGAAAGATTAGCCTAGAGGTGTCGTGCGATGCTTACACTCAAGGGATCCAACACACTAGAGAAAACTGACATTTCTAACGACAGTTGCGCTCTGGAAAGACCTCTCCGTCGAAACACCAACCACAAAGATCCGTCTGTAGTTTTCTATCAACAGTTGGTATTTAAAGAACACCGTCTGTAGTTTTCTATCAACAGTTGGTATTTAAAGAACACCGTCTGTAGTTTTCTATCAACAGTTGGTATTTAAAGAACACCGTCTGTAGTTTTCTATCAACAGTTGGTATTTAAAGAACACCGTCTGTACTTTTCTATCAACAGTTGGTATTTAAAGAACACCGTCTGTAGTTTTCTATCAACAGTTGGTATTTAAAGAACACAGTCTGTAGTTTTCTATCAACCGTTGGTATTTAAAGAACACCGTCTGTAGTTTTCTATCAACAGTTGGTATTTAAAGAACACCGTCTGTACTTTTCTATCAACAGTTGGTATTTAAAGAACACCGTCTGTAGTTTTCTATCAACAGTTGGTATTTAAAGAACACCGTCTGTAGTTTTCTATCAACAGTTGGTATTTAAAGAACACCGTCTGTAGTTTTCTATCAACAGTTGGTATTTAAAGAACACCGTCTGTAGTTTTCTATCAACAGTTGGTATTTAAAGAACACAGTCTGTAGTTTTCTATCGACCGTTGGTATTTAAAGAACACCGTCTGTAGTTTTCTATCAACCGTTCAGCATTCAATTCATGTAAGAGACCCGTACATTTTTACCAGCGTTCAATTCATGCAGGAGACCCGTTACATCAGGTAAAAGTGGCTACCGCCTCATCAAGTGGCTACCAGCTACCTGTCAGGTAAACACCCCCCCCCCACAGGCAGGTATTGGGGGTAGGTTGGGCCGATCGAATCTGAGTCCGACGATATTGCCTTAACCCCCTACCCTAGCCCAGTGCACGGCCTGCGTGATGCAAACGTTATCAAATTATTTAGCAGTACAAATATAGCAGCCCGCGTTCTATTTATAGCAGGTGATGGTTGTGTTATGATGTGATTATCATCTCGTCCTACGCCGTGCCTTGTTGGACTTTCAAAAACACATCTTCACCCCCTTCCCCGCCCCCATTGCTGTTGCCGGATCTTCACCCCCACAAGCCAGAACAAGGAGAGAATAATTCAATCTCCCCCCCCCCTCACCTATTGTCGCAACAGACAATTAACGACTGCACGAGACAAGCAGTTAACAGGTAGCCAAATAGAAAGGTAGGGTTAAATGCATGGGTTAGGTTTCAAGTTTGGCTTAAATATGGTGGCTGGTAGCTAGGCTTCAAGCTCCCTAGAAGGCCCTGGATTGGTGGCTAGCGAAGTCAGGATTAATTGGAGCAACTGTTGGCTAGGCCTAATGAAAGTTTTAAATATCATGGTTGGTTGTAGGAAACAGCGAACAAAATGACTGGACTACGTCACTTAAACTATGCGGTGTGGAAACAAAATGACTGGACTACGTCACTTAAACTATGCGGTATGGAAACAAAATGACTGGACTACGTCACTTAAACTATGCAGTGTGGAAACAAAATGACTGGACTACGTCACTAAAACTATGCGGTATGGAAACAAAATGACTGGACTACGTCACTTAAACTATGCAGTGTGGAAACAAAATGACTGGACTACGTCACTTAAACTATGCGGTGTGGAAACAAAATGACTGGACTACGTCACTTAAACTATGCAGTGTGGAAACAAAATGACTGGACTACGTCACTTAAACTATGCGGTATGGAAACAAAATGACTGGACTACGTCACTTAAACTATGCGGTGTGGAAACAAAATGACTGGACTACGTCACTTAAACTATGCGGTGTGGAAACAAAATGACTGGACTACGTCACTTAAACTATGCGGTGTGAAAACAAAATGACTGGACTACGTCACTTAAACTATGCGGTATGGAAACAAAATGACTGGACTACGTCACTTAAACTATGCGGTGTGGAAACAAAATGACTGGACTACGTCACTTAAACTATGCGGTGTGAAAACAAAATGACTGGACTACGTCACTTAAACTATGCGGTGTGGAAACAAAATGACTGGACTACGTCACTTAAACTATGCGGTGTGGAATGTTTTTATTGTTGGCGCTATGCAATAAATGATCATAAAACAATTTACAACATCAGTGTAGATTTACACCAAGCTACTCCAGATTTACAGCCACGTAACATCCCGGCAGACCTGGACTGTAAATATTACAGATAAAACAAAAGCCAGACATGAAGCTGATGTCGTAAACACGACCCCCAGCCCCTGCATGCCGGCGCCCCCACCCTCACGGAGTTACATCCTAGTTGAAAACGGCACTCGTGGCCAGATAAGGCTAGGACCCAGCCGGGCACGGGTTTCTTCACTATAGGCTGTGGCCAGTCAAAACAATTACAGGCAATTACTTCAATCAATAGCTGCCCGCTCTAGTCACTTTCTATATGCCCGGTCAAGGTCGTTTCTATATGCCCGGTCAAGGTAGTTTCTATATGCCCAGTCAATGTAGTTTCTATATGCCATGTCAATGTAATTTCTATATGCCCAGTCAAGGTAGTTTCTTTATGCCCAATCAAGGTAGTTTCTTTATGCCCAGTCAAGGTAGTTTCTATATGCCTGGTTAAGGTAGTTTTTATATGTGTAGTTGATGAGTGCCGTGTCTACTAAATGAATGCTGTAGTTGGTGTCGGGTTAGAGGACTTGTTAATTGGTTAAAGGTACTGATGTTGATTGATAAAGATACTGATGTTGATTGATTAAAGATACGGATGTTGATTGGTTAAAGAAGACTTGTTGATTGGTTAAAGATACTGATGTTGATTGGTTAAAGAAGACTTGTTGATTGGTTAAAGAAGACTGTTGTTGATTGGTTGATAGAGGTCTAACATTGTTAAAAGACAAGTATTACAACTAACTTTTTACAGTATACATCACTTAGCACTTTTAACTGTAGTTCGGTGGTAAAATACGTCACTTAACACTTTAAAAACTTGGGTTTAGCCAGTCAATTAGCGTCCCACTCAATCCGTCCATCTAGCTTTATCATTAGATCATCTCTCTCTATCTGTCCATCTGCCTCATTATTTGATCATCTCTCTCTATCTATCTTCCTCATTATTTGATCATCTCTCTCTATCTGTCCATCTACCTTATCATTTGATCATCTCTATCTACACGTTTTTTTTTACTTAAAAGTTGCGGTACTTGATTTTTTTTTTGGACAAATTCTTCAGTTTCCGGTACTTGGTAAAAATGAGATACCGTCACTAATTTAAATTAGTTCCGTTTTTTACTAGGCGGAATTCTTGGGACTATATTTCCAGAGTTGTCATTAGTTTACTCCTAGTCTTGCCGGTACTACCAACCACGGCCCATCCCGCAGTGAGAGAGGAAAACAATAGAACAGTGATTACACGAGACAGCAATGATAAATAACAGGTTGGTCTCACGAAAAAGGCTTGCCTAATTAGGAATAGGTTGTAATGAAGAAACGCTTACCGTATTAGGCTAGATATATTATAATGAAAAGGCTTACCTAATTAGGCTAGATATATTCTAATAAAAAGGCGTAAATAGGCTAGATACGTTATAGTGAGAAAAGGCTTACCTAAGTAGGCTAGATGCGTTATAATGAGAAAAGGCTTACCTAATTAGGCTAGATGCGTTATAATGAGAAAAGGCTTACCTAATTAGGCTAGATACGTTATAATAAGAAAAGCCTTACCTAAGTAGGCTAGATGCGTTATAATGAGAAAAGGCTTACCTAAGTAGGCTAGATGCGTTATAATGAGAAAAGGCTTACCTAATTAGGCTAGATACGTTATAATAAGAAAAGCCTTACCTAAGTAGGCTAGATGCGTTATAATGAGAAAAGGCTTACCTAATTAGGCTAGATACGTTATAATGAGAAAAGGCTTACCTAATTAGGCTAGCTTGACAAAGAAAAGACTTTCTCCTCATAATGTGTGGGAACCCTCGCCCTGTAAGGCATGTCTAAGTTCCATGCTAGAGCTGCAGGCATGCGCCAGGTACCGTTAGGTCAGGTCATCCATCGCGCTCATGGTCAGCTCCACAGGTCTCGACCCGCTGGCCACGACAGTCCCTGGCCTATCCCTGGCCAACCCTCAATCCCTGGCCTATCCTGACACAATCCCTGGCCTATCCTGACACAATCCCTGGCCTATCCTGACACAATCCCTGGCCTATCCTGACACAATCCCTGGACTAGCTTTGGACTATCCTGACAACAGTCCGAGAAATGTGGTGGCCGTGAGGTAGAAAAACGAGGGTTTGACGAAGCGAATCGAGCAGGCAGAAACAATCCATGAAAACTCCGTCCCGTTGAACTGGAGTGGCCCCCCTTTGCTGATTTTGACACTACTCTCTGAGTGTAATGGTAGGCCTGCCAATTTCTTATCTTTCCATGTTTTCACACAGAGAAACCATTTGCAGCGCCGCGCTATCGAACACTAAAGGCAAATAAACAAACCGATTATACAACATTAATGAGGGGAGTGGGTGGGGGCTGGGACGTCAGCCAACTCAAGTTGCTTCAGTCAAGTGTTTACAAATCAACTTCTGGCCATCTACGGAAGCTGTGGGCTCGCGGACTTCTTACGTAACTGCTGGACTTAGCATTTATAGGGTGATGGGACGGGGAGGGTCAGAGCCCACTCTTTGAGTAGGACGGGGGAGGGGAGGGTCAGCTGACAGGCAGTGCTCACGCGTCGGTCAGCGGGCAGACGCCAGAGAAGTGACGGCGCGAAAGTTGAGCGGAGATTGGTGTAACTAGCGCCTTGATGGCCGCTCAGCTCCTGAGTGTTGCGACAACCGCTGGCAGCGGTCAAGATAGTGCTCACACCGACACGCCTTAAGGGTTTGACGTCACACTCGCCCAGGGCTGGGGACTAGAAGCAGAATGCTTCACTTCTTTAGGCGGTGTCACCCAACTAGACGGTCACCATTTAGAAGGGTGTCACCATCTGGACGGTAACACCGTTGAAACGATAATACTAACCTGAAGGTGACACAAACTAGACGGTGACACCAACTAGACGGTGACACCAACTAGACGGTGACACCAACTAGACGGTGACACAACCTAGACGGTGACACCAACTAGACGGTGACACCAACTAGACGGTGACACAAACTAGACGGTGACACCAACTAGACGGTGACACCAACTAGACGGTGACACCAACTAGACGGTGACACAACCTAGACGGTGACACCAACTAGACGGTGACACCAACTAGACGGTGACACCAACTAGACGGTGACACAACCTAGACGGTGACACAACCTAGACGGTGACACCAACTAGACGGTGACACAAGCTAGTACAGGAAGGGCCGCGACAAATAAGCGAGAGAGAAAACACAAAGGGAACGGACGTGGAAATCACGCACACTACACATACATCCATAAGTTGTTATCCACTGGTAATAATAATCCACTTCTACGGATAATAATCCACCTTTTGGGATAATCCACGTTAAAGAAAAAACACTTTTTGAATCAACTATCCACCAGTATTGAAATCAATTTCCTCACAATCTAGTCAGATTCTCATGGACTACCTGAATCACAGCACGAGATATAACACCTGTGTGCAACAACTCCGGTGAGGGACAGCCCTGCTCCAACCACGGACAAGCGAGCAGCGTGCAGTGACGGCGACAGAAAGCACTTAATGATGTGAACAGCAATTGATGAACTATTGCCGTAATTAGTAGCCCATTAGACCAATGTAATCACTGGCTCTTATCACTGACCGCGCCACCTTCAGCGCGAGGCGTCCGACACGTACGTGTCGTCGGTCAGTGGACACAGTCAGTGTGTCCAAATATCCACGTGTGTTGGTCAGCACATCCAAGTGTACGAGCGCAGTTGTCTCTCCTTCCTCCCAACACAAGAGAGTAGACGTACGGCCCCCGTCAAGGTAGGAAGGCCATTGATTCATGCCGGGCTCAAGCTTCAACCAAGCGACCCACAATCTTTCACACATAGTCTGCCCTGTCGGCCGACCGCACACCGACGTACGGGTGACTTCGCAAGGATACGGGTTTTTTTTTCTCCCCTAGCAGCTAAACGCGGCGAGCCGCCCAACCAGGCCTGGGTCTCTGCTTTCTCTAGGGGGTCCGCGGATGAAACACCGTGTCCCATTGGACCAATCTTTAACAATGAACTCAGGCGACCTACCTTACGTGGAGCACCTTCCTTCAACCTAGTCGTCCAGTGAAATCTGGAAAGTGTATATCTATAGAGTATATATGGTTAACTTTATGTTGTATATGTAGGCCTATATGTTCTATATGTATGTATATGTAGACCTATGTGTATGTATATGTGTATGTACATGTAGCCTTATTATACATGTTGTTTATGTTGTACAAATATAAGTTTGCCAATATGTATATTTTATGTAGGCCTATACTTATATGTAGGCCTATAATTATATGTAGGCCTATATTTATAGGTAGGCCTATTTGTACAGGTACAAGTATATGTATAAGTACACGAAGTATATTTACATTTAGTGTATATAGTATATGTTTAGGTATAAGTGTAGGCATCGATATATTAAGCATATATATGTACAAATGCATGTGTATCTAAATAAGCTAGGCGGGTTTATATATATATATATATATATATATATATATATATATATATATATATATATATATATATATATATATATATATATATATATATATATATGTGTGTGTGTGTGTGTGTGTTTATGTGTGTATAGGTAGTCAGGTAATCTTGACAGTACTACTAGTACTAGCAAATCAAAACAATAGTGTAAGTCATACACAGAGAAGGGCCGCAACTTGTGAAGAAATTGAGCTTTGATTAGTTATGCCATAATTACTGCCCTTGGGTGCACCCGTTCCCTGTAATTAAACAGATCACGTGAACACTAATTATCTTAAGGCTGGCTCATGACCAGTGCTGGGTTTAGCTATAATCTACAGTATAGGACCTCCACTTGCATGGAGTCCCCACTTTCTTAACTTTTGAAGGTTCCGTGTTATTGGGTAACCCCCACTTTCTCGGGACTCAACAGGTTACCTGAATGAGGTTGTGTCAACAGATAACTTACACCACCGGCCAGACACCACTACCACCCAGACACCACCACCACCCAGACACCACCACCACCCAGACACCACCACCCAGACACAACCACACCCAGACACCACCACACTCAGACACCACCACCACCCAGACACCACCACCACCACCAGACACAACCACACCCAGACACCACCACCACCCAGACACCAACACCACCACCAGACACAACCACACCCAGACACCACCACCACCCAGACACCAACACCACCCAGACACCAACACCACCCCGATACAACAACCACCAGGGACACAACCACATATACACCACCATCACTCATACACCATCACCATTACCACCCAGACACCACTACACCCCAGACACCATCACACCCCAGACACCACCACCACCTCACCACATAGATACTACCACCATCACAACCACACCCAGACACCACCACCACCTCACCACATAGATACTACCACCATCACAACCACACCCAGACACCACCACCACCACCTCACCACATAGATACTACCACCATCACAACCACACCCAGACACCACCACCACCTCACCACATAGATACTACCACCACCATAACCACACCCATACACCACCACCACCCAGACACCACCACCACCCAGACACCACCACCACCACCCAGACACAACCACACCCAGACACCACCACACTCAGACACAACCACACCCATACACCACCACCACCCAGACACCACCACCACCCAGACACCACCACCACCACCCAGACACAACCACACCCAGACACAACCACACTCAGACACAACCACACCCATACACCACCACCACCCAGACACCACCACCACCCAGACACCACCACCACCACCCAGACACAACCACACTCAGACACAACCACACCCAGACACCACCACCACCACCCAGACACAACCACACCCAGACACCACCACCACCCAGACGCCACCACCACCCAGACACCACCACCACCACCCAGACACCACCACCACCCAGACACAACCACCCAGACACAACCACACCCAGACACCACCACACTCAGACACCACCACACCCAGACACAACCACACCCAGACACCACCACCACCCAGACACCACCACCACCACCCAGACACCACCACCACCCAGACACCACCACCACCACCCAGACACCACCACCACCCAGACACCACCACCACCCAGACACAACCACCCAGACACAACCACCCAGACACCACCACCACCCAGACACCACCACCACCACCCAGACGCCACCACCACCCAGACACCACCACCACCACCCAGACACCACCACCACCCAGACACCACCACCACCCAGACACAACCACCCAGACACAACCACACCCAGACACCACCACACTCAGACACCACCACCACCCAGACACCACCACCACCACCACCACCCAGACACCACCACCAACACCCTTGATGTTGTAACTATATGGGACAGACGACAGTCACGTAGCACAGACGAATGGAGTCTGGTATATGGGACCGATGAATGGAGTATGGAATATGGGACAGACGAATGGAGTATGGAATATGGGACAGACGAATGGAGTATGGAATATGGGACAAACGAATGGAGTATGGAATATGGGACCGACGAATGGAGTATGGAATATGGGACAGACGAATGGGGTATGGAATATGGGACAGACGAATGGAGTATGGAATATGGGACAAACGAATGGAGTATGGAATATGGGACCGACGAATGGAGTCTGGAATATTGGACAGACGAATGGAGTATGGGACCGACGAATGGAGTCTGGAATATGGGACAGACGCATGGAGTATGGGACCGACGAATGGAGTCTGGAATACGGGACCGATGAATGGAGTATGGAATATGGGACCGACGAATGGAGTATGGAATATGGGACAGACGAATGGAGTATGGAATATAGGACAGACGAATGGAGTATGGGACAGACGAATGGAGTCTGGAATATGGGACCGACGAATGGAGTATGGAATATGGGACAGACGAATGGAGTATGGAATATGGGACAGACGAATGGAGTATGGAATATGGGACAAACGAATGGGGTATGGAATATGGGACAGACGAATGGAGTATGGAATATAGGACCGACGAATGGAGTCTGGAATATGTGACAGACGAATGGAATATGGGACAGACGAATGGAGTATGGAATATGGGACCGACGAATGGAGTATGGAATATGGGACCGACGAATGGAGTCTGGAATATGGAGCAGACGACTCCAATTTTTAAAGTTTTAACCAGCTCAACACCAGCGTGTCGTGTCCGCTGGCCGTCTAAAGTCACCATCGGTTGGCCGTCCAAACGTCACCAATGAATGGACCAATGTTGACACTCGGTGAGTCAGACGTGAGACGGGTCCGTTTCGTGCGAGTACAATAGGGACCGTGCCAAGTCACGTGACCAGTGCACGGTTACCTGGTGCATCCAAACACAGAGGTAAGTCTCTGCTCTAGTGTTGCGGTCTTGCTCTAGTGGCGGCCCTGCTCTAGTGGCGGCCCTGCTTTAGTGGCGGCCCTGCTCTAACGTCGGCCCTGCTCTAGTGGCGGCACTGCTTTAGTGGTGGCCCTGCTTTAGTGGTGGCCCTGCTCTAGTGGCGGCCCTGCTCTCACGTCGGCCCTGCTCTAGTGGCGGCACTGCTTTAGTGACGGCCCTGCTTTAGTGGCGGCACTACTTTAGTGGCAGTCTTACTTTAGTGGCGGCCCTACTCTAGTGGCAGTCCTAGTTTAGTGGCGGCCCTGCTTTAGTGGCGGCCCTACTTTAGTGGCGGCCCTGCTTTAGTGACGGCCCTGCTTTAGTGGCAGTCCTACTTTAGTGGCGGCCCTACTTTAGTGGCGGCCCTGCTTTAGTGACGGCCCTACTTTAGTGGCGGCCCTACTCTAATGGCGGTCCTACTTTAGTGACGGCCCTACTTTAGTGGCGGCCCTGCTTTAGTGGCGGCCCTACTCTAATGGCGGCCCTACTCTAGTGGCGGCCCTGCTTTAGTGGCGGACCTGCGGCGATTTTGTTCAAAATTTCCAGATACATTCCTCTTCGATGGCAATACAAGTCTTTCGATGGCAATACAAGTCTATCTAATTTTTAATTTAATTAGATGTTTAATTAATCATTAAAAGTTAATTGAACGGTTTCGAAACTAAGGGGAGATAACAAAATTATATATCACTCGATATTCAATAACAGAAAGGGAGATAACTAACTAGACGCAATCATCCTAACAGTCTGGGGAGCTGTGGTTCACGAGAATGTTTACAATCGTAGAGCCGATCGATCAAATGAAGGCTAATAGATAATAAAGTTTTTTTAACGATTTGAAACTAAGGGGAGGTTTTTAAAAAATTAAGAACTTGCCGTCATCTGTAAAAAAAATGGTCACGGACGGCTGCTTTTCAAGGCGCAGATAATCGTATTTTAGATATCGCGAGCTACTGAGGGTGTTTTAAATTTAAAGCAAACATTTTTAGTCGTGTCACTTAATAAATTAGGAATCACTAAAAAGTAGAGAATAAAACAACTATAAAAAAAACTTTATAGTGACAACACGACAAACTTTTGTTGAATGCACAGAAAATAAGAAAATAAACTAATTTACTTTCTTTAACTTTAACAAAAGCCTTTGTCGCTAAAAATAATATTATGTAAATGATCCCATGAGGAACCTTTTTTTTTTTTTTACATTTTTTTAGCGACCGAAGCTTTTATTGAAGAATATATTATGTTTGTTTATTTTCTTAATTTCAGTGCATTTAAAAGCTTGTTATTATTACTTTTTTTATTTTTTTATTTTTTATGCTAGCATAGCCTTGTGTTGGTGGCAGCAATAATTCTGGCCGAGTACTGGCTAACACTACCACTGACCAGGGGACTGTTGGCTAACACTACCACTGACCAGGGGACTGTTGGCTTACACTACCACTGACCAGGGGACTGTTGGCTAACACTACCACTGACCAGTGGACTGTTGGCTTACACTGACCAGGAGACTTTTGGCTAACACTACCACTGACCAGGGGACTGTTGGCTTACACTACCACTGACCAGGGGACTGTTGGCTAACACTACCACTGACCAGGGAACTGTTGGCTAACACTACCACTGACCAGGGGACTGTTGGCTTACACTGACCAGGGGACTGTTGGCTAACACTACCACTGACCAGGGGACTGTTGGCTAACACTACCACTGACCAGGGGACTGTTGGCTAACACTACCACTGACCAGTGGACTGTTGGCTAACACTACCACAGACCAGAGGACTGTTGGCTTACACTACCACAGACCAGAGGACTGTTGGCTTACACTGACCAGGGGACTGTTGGCCTACACTACCACTGACCAGGGGACTGTTGGCTAACACTACCACTGACCAGGGGACTGTTGGCTAACACTACCACTGACCAGGGGACTGTTGGCTAACACTACCACTGACCAGGGGACTGTTGGCCTACACTACCACTGACCAGGGGACTGTCTCCTGGCTAGCTGGGCCAACAGAACTCCTGGCTAGCTGGGCCAACAGAACTCCTGGCTAGCTGGGCCAACAGAACTCCTGGCTAGCTGGGCCAACCGAACTCCTGGCTAGCTGGGCCAACCGAACTCCTGGCTAGCTGGGCCAACCGAACTCCTGGCTAGCTGGGTCAACCGAACTCCTGGCTAGCTGGGCCAACCGTTCTCCTGGCTAGCTGGGCCAACAGAACTCCTGGCTAGCTGGGCCAACCGTTCTCCTGGCTAACTTGTCCGGATTGTGAGTGTCAAGGCCGCTATGAGGAAGTCAATTTGTGCAGTTTATGATTCGTTCAATGTAGGACTATGTAGGACCAGAGAACTGTGCCAGATATGTCCTTAACACCCGTTACAAGAGACGGTAGCACACGACTGGTTGGTGGTTGTGGTATCTGGTTGGTGGTTGTGGTATCTGGTTGGTGGTTGTGGTTGTGGTATCTGGTTGTGGTATCTGGTTGGTGGTTGTGGTTGTGGTATCTGGTTGGTGGTTGTGGTATCTGGTTGTGGTATCTGGTTGGTGGTTGTGGTTGTGGTATCTGGTTGGTGGTTGTGGTATCTGGTTGTGGTATCTGGTTGGTGGTATCTGGTTGTGGTATGTGGTTGTGGTATCTGGTTGTGGTATCTGGTTGGTGGTATCTGGTTGTGGTATGTGGTTGTGGTATCTGGTTGTGGTATCTGGTTGTGGTATCTGGTTGTGGTATCTGGTTGGTGGTATCTGGTTGTGGTATCTGGTTGGTGGTATGTGGTTGTGGTATCTGGTTGGTGGTATCTGGTTGTGGTATCTGGTTGGTGGTATCTGGTTGGTGGTTGTGGTATGTGGTTGTGGTATCTGGTTGGTGGTATGTGGTTGTGGTATCTGGTTGGTGGTATCTGGTTGGTGGTTGTGGTATGTGGTTGTGGTATCTGGTTGGTGGTATGTGGTTGTGGTATCTGGTTGGTGGTATCTGGTTGGTGGTTGTGGTATGTGGTTGTGGTATCTGGTTGGTGGTATGTGGTTGTGGTATCTGGTTGGTGGTATCTGGTTGGTGGTATCTGGTTGGTGGTTGTGGTATGTGGTTGTGGTATCTGGCTAGTGGCTGCTGGTATCTGGTTAGTGGTATCTGGTTGGTGGTTGTGGTATCTGGTTGTGGTATCTGGTTGGTGGTATGTGGTTGTGGTATCTGGTTGGTGGTATGTGGTTGTGGTATCTGGTTGGTGGTTGTGGTTGGTGGTTGTGGTATGTGGTTCTGGTATCTGGTCGCTGGTATCTGGTTGGTCTGCTAATATATATATATATATATATATATATATATATATATATATATATATATATATATATATATATATATATATATATATATATATATATATATATATATATATATATATTGCCTGGGTTTGGAAAATAAATTACAGTTCCAATTAAATGTCTATATGCAAATAAGAAGATTTGAGAAAATAACATAATACTACACCTAACTCTAAACTTAACCCTAACCACAACCAACTTCTACTAAATCTAAAACGCAAACAGAAAAGCAAAATCAAACACAAACAAACATGAAAACGCAATCCAAACAAAAGCACAAAAATCGAACTTAAACGCAAACAATAACGCAAAGTGAAACATAAACATAGAGGACATTTAGGAAAGCTTCTAAACTGTTATGGATCAAAAATAATTATTATTAACAGTGATTTTCAGTGTATAAAATAGAAATTAAAAATACCCGTGTTTTACCTACCACATTGCACTTTATCAAACCAAACTAATTTGATAATTGTTGTTGTTTGTTTTGTATGTTTTTTAACATTAAAACCAACTATTAAAAAGTGGGTTTTTTTCTGCTTTATTCGATCTATGTTTTTCTAGTACTGCCGCTGATCATAACTGTTTTATGTGCTTATTTTAGGTCGTCTATACAAGACGTCACTGAAGTTTATTTAACCCCTCATTCCACGCCCAAAATACTACGTAAATCGGTGTCAATTCTTAACCTACCACTTACCTCAACGTCTCGGTTGTTTGACCCCTTTTCCTTTCTCCGATAGGTGCTCAACGCCATTTATAGATGACCCATCAAATAAATAATACTCAGCGCACTTGTATTAGCACAACTGTATACAATTCATTCAACAATGGTTTGCGGACAAGGCCTATATCAGAGTCAAGAGGGCGATTTTATCAGATGATACAAAAATACGTATGTATGTATATATAAATAAATATATATATATATATATATATATATATATATATATATATATATATATATATATATATATATATATATATATATATATATATGCCTATTTATAAACGTTTCACAAAGAACAGTTTATGACATGTGAATTGCATATTTATTTATAGCGGAGAGGACGATAGCCCTCTGGAAGGGGAAGGGGGGGGGGCGGGACACCCCGTGGAGTTTCTAGCATCACCAGTGAGTTCTGTAGCATACAGCTCTAATAGACTGGAGTAATAAAAGTATTGAGACAGCACTAACATACTGGATTAATACAAGTATTCAGACAGCACTAAAGACTGAAGTAATACAAGTATTGAGACAGCACTAATAAACTGGAGTAATACAAGTATT